AGCAAATAATGGACTGACTTGCTGGTAGAATAACAGAGATCAGCCTGAGTCTCCTTTGCTTCCCAAAGTGTCAAACCTTTTCACAAAACTAAACTCTCTACTCTGGCAGTTATACTACTGAAACCAAGGCTTTCCTAGACTTACACTGAAGAGCTCATAGTGATTAGGCTCCATTCTCTTTGTTCAGCAATATGGTCCTGCAGGAGTGAGGCAGGAGATGGAATGTTAAGGAGAAGTGAAGCAACACTGTTTCTTTCTATTACCACTCATTTGTTTGCTAATTTGTTTCTTTCTATTATCACTCATTTCTTCCTTTAAAATGAAGTTGGATTAACGGATTTCTAATCATCATTATAACTCTGAAGTTCTTTTATGCAATGTAACAGAAAATGTCCTTAATTATGGATGTATGAGTCACGGAATGGTATGAAAGCAGTGAGAAATTGTCCTGCATGATGACATTTCAAGACCATTTTCATGTTTATATGCAACCTGTTATGTCTGACATTACTCTAACCAATCCTTGAGTCTATTCAGAAGTAAAGACATTATCCTTAGGATAAATTCCTATCTATAGCATCCATGATAGAGGATGGATCCAGGAAGGACTAAATCCTGGATCGTGACCAGGATTAAAAGAATAAAAAAAGACTTTACTAAGTATAAAGTTCATCACAAGCAGCAATATGGAGATGAACTAACTACACAGCTGAGCCGTGGGTAAAAAGGATGCTCCTTTCTGAAAATCTGTATATTATAGCTTTCCTGAAGAGCACACACACACACACACACACACACACACCACCCCAGCAAGTTGTAAAACCTGGATTAGGTGAAAGATTTACTAATATGTAAAACAACAACAAAAATAAATAATTAAAAATAAACATTTCTTAAACATTCTGATTGCTTTCTAACTGCAAACACCCTCCTTTCCAGCATTGTTTAGGGGTTAAAGATTCCAAACCAAGGCTGGCTATAAATTTGTGGGATGACGTACAAAATGAAAATTTATCCCTTTCTCAGAAAGCATAAAAAGTGCTGTTAAATATTGTGATATATACTTTTCAATGTTGCAAACCAATTTATTGCAAAAAAGGGCTGACTACATTTTTAAAAACCATCCTTTCACTTACAGAACCATAAAATTACCATCAAAACTCTTTTAAATTTATTTTTCTATTATCCATTCTTTTTTTTTGGTTCTAACTAGATTACGTGATAGCAAAATGCATTTTCATTAATTGTACACAAATGAAGCACAACTTTTCATTTCTCTGGTTGTACACAATGTAGGTTGCACCATATGTGCAGTCATACATGTACCTAGGGTAATGATGTCCATATCATTCCACCATCATTCCTGCCCCCATACCTCTTCCCCTTCCCTCCCTCCCTCCCTTTTGGCCAATGAAAATGCCTTCATTCTCCCAATGGCACACCCCACTATTATGGATCAGCATCCACTTATCAGAGAGAATATTAGGCCTTTGATTTTGGGGGATTGGCTTACTTTGCTTAGCATGATATTCTCCAACTCCATCCATTTACCTGCAAATGCCATAATTTTATTCTCTTTTAATGATGAGTAATATTCCGTTGTGTATATGTACCAATTTCTTTATCCATTCATCTGTTGAAGGGCATCTAGGTTGCTTCCACAGTTTAGTTATTGTGAATTGAGCTGCTATGAACATTGATGTGACTGTGTCACTATAGTATGCTAATTTTAAGTCCTTTGGGTATGGACCCAAGGAATGGGACAGCTGGGTCAAATGGTGGTTTCATTCCAGGTTTTCTAAGAAACATCCATACTGCTTAGTGGTTGTACCAATTTACATTGCCATCAGGTATGTATGAGTGCACCTTTTAGAACTCTTTGTACAAAATACTGTATAATTAGAAAACACAATGGAATTTATAATAATTCCTATAATTACCAATAGAAATCTTATAGTTGCAAAAAAATTAGTTTCATAAAAAGTTTGTATAAAAATTAATATAACTTTCTGAATATGATATGTTGATTAATCATTAAGACTTTTCTGCTTGCTCTTCTTTAACTTATTAGATTTTCAAGATTTAATATTTTAGCAACATTCAAGCACTATAATTGAAAGCACATTAGATAGTCTTGGTAAACAGAAGATTGCAACTCAATTTCTGAAATTTCTGATTTTGAGAAACAATACAACAGACACTAGAGCTCTAAAGAGTATTTTATAAGCTGTGACTGTATTCACATAATTAAATGATAAATTAGTATGAAATCTGAATTTGAGTAAGTCTAATGTTGATGTTTCTAGAGGAACAATTTTTCTAAGACAATTTTACTCCTCAAAACAATTATTTTCTTGTCAGTCTGAATTTAATTTGAAATGTAAATTTATATATCAGCATTTAAATGTTTCTTTGACATTTTCTGTTATTTGTGGAGATTTGATAAACTGACAGAGGTGTTATGATTTGTGTATAGTTCAAAACACTTGTTTATGTATCCAATTGCTATATCCTCAATTATAAGAAAAAGTAATTTAAAAAATATTTTCTGTGCAAATGCTTGGCTTATCTGAAATTTCACATGAAAATAGTACTGTACTCCATCAGGCAACTGTCCTTATATTTAAGAGCTTGCATATGCTCCTGTACCAAGCCTTTACATCTCTCCTCTGCTCATGCACATGCTCCAACCTCTTATCCACACACACTCCCACATACACACAATGTCACAGCTTCTCATTCCCTTTCCTGCAAAACTGAACAATCTGCAAGTAACTGGAAAACACTGAGTCATTTCTTTGTTGACAATCATTGTTTTTCAAGTCTTTTTCATCACAGTAATTTAGATGTCATTTATAAGCTCTGCCAGGGGATCTGTTTTAACAGTACTTTGGGTTTTGATATCCTTATCAATTGCTCTAAGCTTAATTATTAGAAATTTTCCCTGCAAAGTGTTTCTGGGAGGAAAAGGGCCCCATCCAAATGGGATGGCAATGCGGAGATGTCTCCTATTAGCAGAAGTAACAATGCTATGATGTGAATCAGGATGCCCAAAGTGTGCAGACACTGCTGTGCAAGCCTCCCTGAGGCAGAGGCTGTGGCTGCAGGTGCAGCTGCAGTTTAGGGACAGGCTGCAGGTCCCCTGGGAGCACTGTGCCTCTGCTGCACAGAGGTAGGTGCCTGAATCTTCCAGCTGGGAGATGGAGATGTGCAGGGTGCTGGAGCGCTCCTTAGCATCTGCTGTTGCGTTTAACCTTCCCTCCTGCTTTGTCCCCTGAGTCAGGAAAAACAGATTGATGAGGTCACCATCAGGTTTCTGTCTGAACCACTGCACTTTGTTCATGGTGGTGGAAAATTTGCACATCAGGGTAGTGCTGGTTCCCTCCTGGAGCCTCAGGGCTGAAGGACTCTGCTCCACCTGCTGCCCTCTCACCCCTGCTTGGAAAGAGAAAAGCAAACACAGCTGGTGTCACTGGGGAGTCCATGACCAGTTCACAAACCTGCAGAATATCCCAGGGAACACCCTGAGGATGGAGCATAGGGAGGGGGCTTGGTGCTAGCTCTCCCTGCCCTCCCTCACACTGTCAGCCCTACAACACCCCCAGCCCCATCTGGGAGGAACCCGACTCACAGCAAAGCTGCACCCACAGAAGCCCCAGCAGAGCCCCCAGTCCCCTTTGCATGGCTGCTGGCCTGGCTGCTGGGTCTTCTCCCTGCTCTGCAGGTGTCAGGTCTTGGGCCAGACAAGCTTGGTCTCCCAGGCAACAGGTTCCACTTGACTCCCTGAGCACCAGTCACAGCTGAGCTCTGTCCTGTCCCTAACAGGAAGCTCCACCCCCAGTGGCCTAGAGAGACAGCAGTGGTGGCTCCAGAATTGTGTGAGGACAGTGCACGGGGTAGGGGTGATGTTTAGGTAATGAAAATAAAAGGGCTTTTTAATTTTTTTAACAGTTTATACAAAAGAATTTTTTTGAAAAGTGTCTGAGAAAGGAGGATGATGCTTCAGGGAAGAAGCAATGTCTCAACTGGGTGTAGTGGAGCCTCAAAGAGTCACAGGAAGAAGATGCCCATTTCCCAAGTCACATAGTTTGACAAAGGTTTTTGAGCAATCAATTATATAAAAATTCTAATAAAATAAAGTATTTGAGAGCGTGCAATGTATATTAAAAAGTGAACAAACTTCCTTGAAATCAGAAGATCATGATCTGCATTGGAAATGTTTGAGTCTAGCTTATTCAAAGAGAAACAGCATATATGTATGTTATTTACCCTGATTTATTTTACACCTCTTCCCTTTTTCTGTGCAACCCTTTTCCCTACAACTTGCAGGCCACACAGCAGCCCCCAATGAGGCCACATATTACTGGTTAAGATAAACAGTGTCCTCTCCTTTTTCTTCTTCTATTTTTATTTCTTACTTTCCCCTTTTTCTTCTTATTTCTTTATTTTTTTACCTTCTATTTTCAGCAAACATATATGAAAATACAGGATATTAGGAGTATTAGAAAATTTTCTAATTTGGTAAATTTTGGAAATTTTATTTATAAAAAACTTCAATGAAAAGAGTGATGGAAATGTTTTCTATCAAGCTTCTGTGTTTACAATGCCCAGTAAAATTCCAATTTCCTCACCTCTGCTCAGAGAATCATTTTTCCAAAGGATTTATAGACACAGGGTTATCAATGAACATAGATACAGACTCCAGTTTTCTGAGGTTTTATATAGAATGGCAGAGCTGAAGGCCTGAGATGAACTTTACAACATCACCCCCTCCCTCTGTCTCAGATATGACTAGCTCACAAGTTCTCTGGTTTCCTGTCTTAACTGTTCACCCTGTGGGATCTTCATAAGTCATTCCTGACATAGCCTGCAGTGCCCCCTGGTGGACTGAAACCACTAACAAAGGCCTCAGAACACCAACCAAGTTCTCAGCAATCACTTAGCCCAACCCCTTTTGACTGCATGTTACATACATACAATTTAGAGTAATTACAAGAACAAAAATAGACTTTACATTTTCTAAAAGACAAAATAAAAAGGAGAACTTTATCAAAGAAATAGAAAACAGACTAAAAAAGTAAATAATAAAGAGTACACCAAGCAACACAAAATTATTAAAACCAAATCCAAACGTCAATATTAAAATCTCATGAAAAATTATCGGATCGAGTTAAAATTAAAAATATTGCTGTATATTGTTTCAGAGAAACATAAGAAAATAACCAGAAAAACTTAACATATACAATAAGATTCTTCCTGCTGTTTCTGTGGGAGAGGACTGGAACCCTCTCTTTCACCCACTAAACCCCAGCAACCATGGAAGACACATCCCCAAAGCATTTCAATTCCAATATTAAAGGAGAAGTTAAGATAAGAGAAATCTAGCAAAATAACTCCTGTGAGGTAAAATATGAACCAAGAGAGGAAAAAAACAGGTAAACAAAGAATTCATATACATGCAGAAAAGAGAATTGGGAACAAACGGAAAATGAGTCAAAGATAAAAGATAAAATAAGGTAAAATACCAAGAATAAATGATGCTGGAGTTACAGAAACTAAAAATGGAAAATTTCATAACCCTGAGACAGCAAAGGAGAAAAGTGACACATCTGAATAACAGCTTTTACATTTTTGTTGCTGGTGCCTCTATCTCCTTTCTTTTACAATTTGGAATATTTTATGAAGTATTTGTAATTGCATGTTGCTGGGCTGTCTAGAAACACTTAAGAGAAGGAGGTTAAAAATCTCATTAATTAATTTATTTATATAGCATCAGAAATATGTACAGTGTTGGATCAGGGAGGTTTCAACAGTGTTGTTCATGAACTCACCATTTATTCACCTGGAGGATTGCTATGGATTGAATTGCTACCACTCAAAATTTATATGTTGAATCCCTGACCCCAAGAACCTCAGAAACCGGTGTCATGGGAAAAGGTTTTATAGCAGTCATTTTAGGTAGAATGAAGTCAGATAGATGGTCTCCACCTCAAAATGACTGGTGTTCCCAGAAGAGGAGGAAATTTGGGTACAGGCATGCACATCCTAAGAAGAAGGCCATGTGAGGAGTCAGTGAAGGCATCATTGCTTACCAAGGAAAGAGGCCTCAGGAGAACTAATCCTGCTGAAAACTTGACCTTGGACTTCCTGCCTCCAGAACTTGGAGAAAATAAATGTCTATCATTAAAGCTACACAGTCTGTGGCTTTTTGTTTTGGTAGCCTTAGAAAACAAATACAGGAGTGCATTTTAAATATCCTAGTATATGAAACTGATGACAAAGAACAATTTAGAGTTATACTATACATATAGAATATCGTGCACATTCCAATATTTTACCTTTTATAGCTGTGCTGACTACACTTGCATTTGTCTTCCAAATAATATTGCTCCCTTATCTTTTCTATCCCTGTGAGAACTGTGTCTTGAAGGCCAAGATATCCTAAACAGTTTTGTCGGTATGCTAGAAAGAGTGGAAGTTTGTACTGGATATGTTACATATTTGGTATTCAACAACAAATTGGTGAAATTTTCTTCGTAAAGTACTACCAAGCTTTTCAGTATTTTAATTCACTGTTTATTGAAAAGTGCCATTAAATCTGAAAATTCTCTGGAATAACTGTTGAGAAAAGACTACAATTGCATGATTCACAGATCTTCAGAACTTGCAAGAACAATTATCTAAAATTTGTTCAGAGTATCTGTATATCACTTGCCAAGGAACAATGCATATATCAACTTACTATGATATAAAATTAACATTAAAGTACGTTTTTTTTTTGTACTGGGGATTGAACCCAGGGGTACTTAACTACTGAACCACATCCCCAGTCCTTTTTTAATATTTTATTTAGAGACAGGGTCTTGCTAAGTTGTTCAGGGCCTTGTTGAGTTGCTGAGGTTGGCTTACATTAAATCTTTTTAAATGAAGACCATGGTATGTCAAGAATGTGCTAGTTAATTTAAGTATCCCCTCTGAGGAGAATCAATTGATCCAGTGAGGAACACAAACTCCAGGAGTGGCAACTGCCATTGTGACAGAATTCCACCACAGAGAAGACCATTATTAGCCACCTACAATATGATGAATGCCTGAATTCCTAAATATCATAGGGAGTATCAAATATTGAGTCCAAAGTAGTGACATTTCAATAGTGCAACAAGTATTAGAAATGGAGTTTTAAATAAAGGTATTTAACAGGTGTTTGACTAAAATGTTTTTGAGACATCTCATATTGACAGAATATGCAAATATAGGTTAGCCTATACTTTTGTGCTTATAAGATGGCAGAACCAAATAACCTCTAAAAGATTCTGGGTCCAGCCAGGGATGGACACAGTGGAATGTATAAAAATTTACATTATATTTGTATAGTAAGATACTACTCAGCAATAATAGTAATGAATGATGGATCCTCATGAGAACATTAGTGAAATTCAAAAACACCTTGAGCAAAAGAAACCAGGAATTAAAACCTACCAGACCACCATAGATTTTAATTTCTAAAACAATGAAGGTAAATCTATCATGGTAGAAATAAGAACTTCTATTGCCTCCAGAAGGTGGGTTGCCTGGAAAGGGTTACAAGAAAACTTTCTGTGGATGAAAGATTTATTATGTGTCAAGATTGCTTTCAAATTATTGCTTCCTTTTTGTTCTGTTTTTAAGAAATAGCAAATCAAAAGCAAGAGATTAAGACAGTTGGTTGCATTTGAGAAAATTAACTGGAATAACAATCTTCAGACATTTCCATTGGTGAGTGATTGAGTGCCTATTTGTGTTGTAAGTTAAAATATTTTTAACGATTGATTACAGTGCTAGGATTTGGCTGGATTGGTACAATGCTTGCCTAGCATGCACAAGGCCCTGAGTTCAACTGCCAGCACTGAAAAAAAAAAAAAAGTTACAATTTGCCTAGATGGTATTATTTTGGTGTCAAAAACTGTGAAAAGTCAAAATTAATCTCATTGTCATAAAAATTTTATAATATTTCTAAACTCTTCTTAGTATAATTATTAAAGAAATAAAAATAAATAAAACAAGATTTTTTAAAATCATTTCTTAAGCTGGAGCAGGGAAGCGAGAAGAAGGAGGAGGATCTCCAGTTGTTTAAGGTCCTTGGTACATGGATAAATCCGGTCCAATCAGGAGAAAAACACCATTAATAATTTATGCAAGGATAAATTTAATACAAAAATTTTAACTGTAACATGAGATCATGTCAAAAAAATAAATTGAAGTTTATGATTTTGCCAGACTTACAGTAAGCTATTTTGTTGTTAGCTTTAAAGAAAGGAATACTTTAAAAACTCTCTTGCCATATATTCATATAATAAAATTTAAATAAAATCTAAATATAAGAGGAACTAAAGGCCTCACAAATCAGAGCACAGAAATTCATGCAATTTCCCTATTTTCAACTTAAGCCATCACCACACACTCAAGTTTCTTGGGTGTCCCCCAAATCATAGGCTGTTTCCATAGAATAAACCTTAGTCTCTTGTATTTTGTGAATGACAGTTGCTGTTGTAGAAGGTGGTGGAGGACACATGGGGGTTGCACTGCTACTTAAAAAAAATGTTTTAAGCAATTCTCCTGTTTTAGGGCACACAGCTCTCCAAACAGCGTCATCTCCCAGTATCTAAAAGGAAAAAATATCACAAGCAAAATATTCTTTATGACTCAATAAACTGATATACATCACACAGCTGTGATAGACAAAACAAAAGATACCTGCAGTTAAATCCAAAGGCACATCTTTTTAAATCATCCTTCTTCTCTTATAGTCCTGGTAACCATCCTTCCCCTTTTGTATAAGAAACGACTTAGCAACATGGGAGATGCTGGCATTCCCTTCCTGACCAATTACAGATAAGAACTTCATCCTAGAATTTTCCTTTTCCAGACCCTGGACACTGCCTCTCTATCTTGGCATCATCTCACCGAGAAATTATTATTCTTACTGAGAAAAGGGTGGGTATCTCTACATATTTTGGGTAGTGGCTAACCTGTTTTGGAGTTCTGCCATGTATGTATGCTATATAATTAACCCAAGAAAATAAAGAAGTGTTCCATTTTTCTCTTTCTTGTGGAAAGACTTATAGGGAGGTGACTAGCGCCTCATTAGGGGGTTCTTCTTCCTGGCAAGGAAGGTGTAAGCCACCTAAAAATTAAAGTCTAAATTAGTGAAGGAAAAAAAAGACAAAGTTAGAAACTTTTGAAACTATTGTTTCAAAAAAGTGGAGCCCCTGATAGGTCCAGTCCACACAAGAGCTGGAGATAGACAACTAGAAAAGGGCTCCTTTGGTTTATTTGAAGGGGAAAATCAAAGCCAGGGATAAGGTTTCAGGGATGAAGTCTTCTTGATGTCTTGCAGTCAGCAGGTTGATTGGCATCTTGGCAGGTCACGCCCATCTCTGAGGGGCTGTGCGGCTGGGTGGTTGTGCCAGGTCACCCCATCTCCAGTGTTGTGTGGTACCAGGCAGAGTGGAATAGAAATTCACAATGTTTCTGGGCGATTTTACTCTGTGAGATTGCCACGGGAAGTTCCCAAACACCAGATGTTCCTATTCACTAGGCTGTGTTGCTGATGAAGTCTATACACAGCCCACAGATGGCTTTTAACAAAAACGTAAATTCTCCTTCTCCTTCCTTTCATATATTTCTTTTTTCTTTAAGAATCGACTGTTGGTCTGGGGATGTGACTCAGTGGTAGAGCAATTGCCTAGCATGCATCAACCCCTGGGTTCAATCCCTAGTACCATAAAAAAGGGACCTATTGTTTCTTTGGATGATTCCCTCAGAAATCACCAGCTTATCAAAAACATTACACATCTGCACCATCATATGCCACAGCTGTCTCTGAACACAATATACCCCTACATATCCTGGGAGAAGATTAAGGAGATAGAATTATATGAGAGGATGAACATAAAGAACATTTCCTTCATTGGGAAGTTCTATCTTTTTGAAATCATATATTTCTAGCATGGTTGAGGAACTATGGTGACAGACTGTTTTTACCCTCACTGTTAAAACATCTTGTAAGAGGTTTGTTTACTTCTTGTTCTTTTGCAGTGTTCTAGGGGTTGGTTTAGATGACTTTGACAACACAGTATTGCCTAGGGTGGATGTCAGATGGCTATGCTAGCAGACTAGTTCCTGGTCTCCAAACCAGAGAGATCTAAGGCAGATGCTCAGCCACCAGGCCCCTGGTTGCTACTCAGAGTTTGTGCTCAGCTCCCCCTGCAGATTCTGCCACTGTGTCACCCAGAGCACAGTAGTACACAGCCGAGTCGGACTCTTGAATGGAAGCTTTCTTCAAGTGGAAGGAAGAAGTTTCTTTATTGTACGTGGCTTCAAAACCTTTGTTGCTGCCCTTCTCATTGGCTTTTGAGACTCTAAAAAGGAGCTGTGGACCTTCTCCAGTGTATTGGACATACCAGAATAGGGCAGGATACCGTGAGGTTTCATAGGAACAGTTCACAGTCACGGAAGTCCCTTCAGAGATGATCACCTGGCCTTCTGTCTGGGTTACTGAGTCACCATTGCTTCCTCCTAAGAAGAAAAGAATAATAACTCAGTGCAGGGTTCTTTAATCATGGTTAGCGTTCTGCCTCTTAGAGAAATATTGGTTAAAAATTGCATCAGCATGGTGGAACCAAAGATTCTAAGCTCTATGTGCCATTTTTCTTACCAAACATTAAGACTAATATAATCACTGGTCCTGGGGCACAGTTCATTTTCAGAGTCTCTGCAGTCCTTCGATCTTGACTTTGCAGTGTAAGGAAAGGTTCAGGTCACAGTGAGGATTCATGTGAGCTCAGAAGTAAAACAGGAAGTGTGTGTGTGTGTGTGTGTGTGTGTGTTAGGGGATGCACCCTCTTGTGGGCAAGATTGGAAACTCAGTGGATTGCTGACTTGCTCTCTCCAGTCAGTACTGCAGCTCTGCTTCTGGCTTCTTTTCTAAGACATCTGTTACCTGTCAGATGGCCTATCGCAATTCACATAATAGTTGGTATTTTTTATAAGCTTATTTTTGCCCTGTACATCAAATTCTTTGGAAACTCCATGCCATGCCATTTCTAAAAAGAATTTAATTTTACCTTTCCTTATTTAGCCATTTTTGTCCACTCCGTGAGCCACTGAAAAATCATCTGAGCAAGTTTTAGGATAAAATCAGAGGAATGTCAACCTGTGTTTGATCACCAGTATATGACTTTGGATAGCAGAGACTTTAAATTTTGACAACTCTTGCTATTCCCACTCATGTAACAATGTCAGAAACTTATATATTATATTTCTTAAATGTAAAGGAAGTTGAGGACACTCCCTCTCTGAGTATCATCTTGCTGTATAAATGTGTAAATTTATAAATTAAGTTGAAAAAATCCACTATTTAAAATATCATATTACTTCACATTTAAAAAGACATTAATTATAAAAGATGTAATTTAATAATTTTTTTGAAAAAATTTATATTACATGTATATTGATTAAAAATTGAAAAATAGCTTAGAATGTAGCTCCGTGGTGGAATGCTTGCGTAGCATGCATGGGTTCAATCTGCAGCACCAGAATTGAAAAAGATATACCTCTTATTATGAAGAAATGTAGTAATGAACATTATTACATCCTTATAAAATTATCTGGCATCATTTTCTTCTGTCCTAGGATTTTAATCATGCATAGATAATGTGATTAGCCTATGCACATCAGGCAAATTCATTAATGTTTGTGGCTTCAAAATTGTTATTGTTGTTCTGATACTAAATCTTTCATGTAAATTTTACCTCAAGTGTGCTCTCTTAACCCTGTCACCCTAGAAACCCTCAGTGCTCTCTTCAAACGTCCACTGCCAACATTATTGACCAATTGAGGTGAATAAAATTATTGTTCTCACACAACAGAAAACTCACAGAACTTGGGTTTTTCTGAAGAAACCAAAAAACGAATTCAATCTTAGCTTCCAGGATGGGTAGATGTGTCTGCTGCTGTGATGAATCATCTCACAGCCAGGGAACAGACAATATTTAGCTAGTGGTTAACTTTAAAATACAGATTTGGAGGTATCTCCACTTACCTATAAATATAAGTCTTTAAATTAAAAAAAAAAATCTCAGGTGGTTTGTGGTGCAGCCATTGCGATACAAGCTTGCAAAATGACCTTTGGGGACACTGACCAAATGAGGCACTCCTGGGTTCAGAACAGAAGGAGATACTAACACAAACAGGGTTTTAAAACAATTATTCTGCATGATAGAACTGAAGTGACCAAAATAAAACCAAAATGCATTTCCAGGAAGATGAAGGAATAGGGAGATCGCTTCCCTGGTGGCTCCAAGGAAAGCAGATGGGTGGCTTTTCAGCAAGGTGGGTGAATGAAGAAAATTAGGGGGGACGTTACTGGAATTTAATACTGGACACCCAAAACAGATCAGGGACTCAGGTGATTGAATAAATAAAATAAGGGGAAAAATCCCCAGCCCCATAGCTGCATCAGCAAGTGAAGGCACAAGCCAGAACAGTCCTTCCATGAACACAGTACAGCAATAAGGGAAGTAAAGGAAGCCTCATTCTCAGGAGGACTGAGACTTCTGGGGACATGGAGAGTTTAGAAATCAGAGTCGTTGCCCAGATAAACAGTAAGCTGCACTGCACAATATCCTCATAAGGGAAAAACGTCACCATCTCTTCCCATGTCAGGTAGAAGACAACAGAAGGAATTATTTTGCAGCTGAGAAATAAACCTGGAAAATGCATACTGCATGACAGAGACTGTGCCTAAGTGACAGGAGAAAATCAAACATGGAGAGAGGTTTCACAGGGTAACCCATCTGGCTTCCCACTCCCCTTCCAATCCAGCTGCTTGCAGGACCAATGGGGAGAGAAGTGCCTGACCAGGAATTTGAAAGGGTGGGGGCAGGAGAGATTGAGTTTGGAGACTGAATCACAGACCAGGAATCATGGAGTCCACAGGTAACATAGTGGATTAAGAATAGGCTCCTACACCACATGAGTGGAACCCAAAGAATATTCCTGGGTGTTTTCTTCCAGCATGGACCAGCAATTACTGGGTTCCCAAGGTGTTCTGTCTTTAAATCTCCAGACCAACTGGCATTCAGTGAAGAGACTGGAGATACTTAAACCTACACCCTGCCTCCAGGAATTCCTCCTCCAGGATTAACCTTCTTATCCCAGAAACCCCACCCACCCTAAGGATGGAGCAAGCATCACACTTGCAGCAAATGCATTTAACTTTTGAGAAGGGGAGCTGATAATATTTTGAACTCCAAGATAAATAATTGTTTAATTTTCCATCAAGATCTTTTTTCCCCTTTTTTTCTCTTACATTTCTATCATTTTGAAACCAATTATTTTTCATGCATCAGTTTATTGAGGACTAGGATGTCTGAATAGTATATAGCAGTTTTGTTTTATAGCCTTTAAAAATTTTTTTTAGATTTTTAATTTTTATTTCATATATATTTTTTTCTCTCCCTTATTTGTTTGCCTTGAATCTCTTTCTCTCTTCTCTCCTGCTAGCAGCCAACCTCTATCATTCACTCTTTTACTCTTCCTGTAATTTTTTATTCTATATTCTCTCCTCTTCCCTCAAGAACACCACTTCTGTTCTCTTTTTGTCCAGCATTTGAAATTGTAAACACTTTGGCAAACTTACTGTTTTCATTGTAGGTAACAATTGAACACAACATTTCTGTTTATTGTGACAAAACAGCATAGTAGGAGCTATTTGGTTTAATGTGGTATTTTTTTGCATTGTTTGCTATTATTATTTGTCTCCCCCTTAAAGTCAAAATACTGGAAATTTTCAGGGAAATTATAAGTCTACAGGGTAGACACACTGCTAGATGGGTAAACATAAAAAAACAATATGGAAAAAACAAGGGTGAAAATCACCCTCCCCAAAACCAAGATGCTCCAATAATAGATCCATTGACACCCAGTGAAAGGAATGACAGAGAAAGAGTTTAGAATGCATATAATTAAACAGGTTTGCAAGGTAAACGACAATGTAAGTAGTAAAATCATAGATAAAATTCAGGTGGTGAAAGATCACTTCAATAAAGAGGTAGATATTCTGAAAATAAATCAAGCAGAAATCCGTGAGATAAAGGAATCAATAAAATAAATTAAAAATTACATGGAAAGCATGACCAATAGATAGACCTCTTGGAAAACAGAACTTCAGGCAATGAAGACAAACTATACGATCTGGAAAACAAAGCTGAAAATGGAGAAAAGATGTTAGGAGACTATGCACAGAACTTCCCAAAAATATGGAACAACATGAAAAGATCAAATTTCAGATTTATTAGGATAGATAAAGGTTTGGAGACAAAAAGAAAAGGAATACACAATCTTTCCAATTAAATAATATCATAAAAATTCCGAAACCTAAAGAATGAAATGGGAAATCAAATACAGGAAGCTTATAGGACCCCAAACGTCCAAAACTAGAACAGACTCACACCAAGGTATTTTATTAAGAAAATGCCTACCATACGGAATATGATAGAATTTTGTAGGCTACCAGAGAAACATGACAGGTTTCATCTAGAGGGAAACCTACATGGATCTCAGCTGACCTCTCAAACCAAACCCTCAAAGCTAGGAGGTCATGGAATAATATATACCAAGCTCTGAAAGAAAATGGATGTCAACCAAGAGTTCTACACCCAGCAAAAGTAAGCTTCAGATTGGAAGATGAAACAAAAACCTTTCACGATAAACAAAAGTTTAAAAAAAAACCTCACAACTAGAAAGCTGCACCACAGAACATTCTCAGCAAAATATTCCTTGAAGATGAAATGGAAAAAAAGTGAAAACATGAAAGAAGAGAGCTACACTAAAGATTGGCTAAATAGTAAATAAAAGAAAAACCTAATTCAAATTATAAACTAGAAACAAACCTGGGCATATAAATCATATCTCAATAATAACCTTGAATGCTAATAGCCTAAATTCATCAATCAAAAAACAGACTGGCAGATTGTATTAGAAAATAAGAGCCAACAATATGCTGTCTCCAAGAGACTCACCTAATAGGCAAAAACATCCACAGATTGAAGGTAAAAGGATAGGATACAACATATCACTCACATGGGTCATGTAAACAAGCAGGGATTTCTATCCTCATATCAGATAAAGTGGACATACATAATATAAACAGATCAATTTTTAGCAGTGAAATAGAAAACACCATCAAAAGCTTACCAACTAGGAAAAGTCCAGGACCAGACAGATTCTTAGCTGAGTTCTACAACCCTCAATGAAGGATTAACACCTCAAATCATTCCATGAAATAAATAAGGAAGGAACCCTACCAAACTCATTCTATGAGGCTAATATCACCCTGATTACAAAACTAGACAAAGACCCATAAAGGAAATAAAACTTCAGACCAACATCCCTGATGACCATAGATGAAAAATTCTCATTAAAATTCTGGTAAATCACATAAA